GGTATCACAATGAATATACTCAAAATTCTATGAATATACTTAGCGCCAACTGGTCTATAGAATAGTACTCACCTGTTTCAGTAACGTTGCTTTGTACACAGCTAGTTTGATTAATATCAGGGCAGCAATCGTTATTAGTATAGCAAGACTGATCGCAGTAACAGGTTGAATTACCACCAGTCCCACGACATGAAGAACTAGTAGAAGTATTACAGCAAGAAGTGAAGCCAGCAGATACACAAGAACTCTCCAAGTATACACAACCAATGCTGGCTACATCTGGACAGCAATCACCGTATATGTAACAACTGGCATCACAATAGCATAAACTGGACCCAGCTCCCTAAATAACGATTCTTAAAGTGAAGCAAGAGGATAGAATAAATGAGCTTACATGGCATGGAGAGCTTGTACAACAGCCTGTATAGTTAGCGGCTACGCATTGGCCTAAAGTGAAAAGACACTTCAATGCAACGCCAACTAAAAACAATATGAATAATTTACTTTCCACTCCTTCTAGCAAAATAAAGTGAACAAATAAGCATGCAAACACGAAAAAAGAAGTCATTTCTTGCTTAGTGTGCCGACACACCCTCCTTAATGAGAGGCGGGGTTTTGTTCGTGGAACACGTGATTGCACGTGGTTAAACATTTAATCCATTAATTCATTACACCAGTCATCGGCCAAATGTTTTTTTATCACACTACAGTTTTAATAAGTTTCCAGCTTAATAAAATAATTATCATTATTATTATATGCATATATTATTGAAAATATTTATGGCTTGAATAAAGTAAGTAAAACACCAGCAAAAGAATTAGTTTTCAATGTCAATTGGAGGAACATCAGTCTCATCATCAGAATGCAACGATGGCTGAAAGTGAGCAACTGCACAAACAAAAAATGACAATCATGTAATACTGCTTGCCATAGTAACTTTTAACTCACCTCCCTTGCCCATTTCCTTGAGATCAATACCCTTCTCGTCAGCTCTTATCTTCTCATCAGCAATCTTCTCATCAGCAATCTCTTCATCTTCTGGATCTATTAAACTAATTCTCTCTTCATCATCATCATCATCCTCATCCTCAGAGTCTTCAGCTTTAATGGTTATTGCTCTCAAAGAACGATAATCATGATGCCTTCGAGTCCTAAAAATAATTTTTTTCATTATTGAGCATTATAGCTAATAGCTATTTCAGGAACCATGCATTATACACATACACAGACTTACAAATGAAATGCTTACTTTACAATTAAATACACTGCAGCAACGATGATGATGATTATAATTAAAATAACACCAACTCCTACTAAACTTCCTATTAGGGTCTTTTTATCTTTAAAAAATTAAAAAATTATAAATCTTTAAAAAATTATATATTTTTCATATTACTTCCAGAAGAATGTGCTGCAATAGATGGTTCAGGAGAAAAACTTAATGATGAGTTTACTGCAAGAGTTGATGAGGTTGTAGATAGTTTTATTGTAGTTGATGTGCTCCTAACTGAAGGCTGCAGAATACCTAACAATGGATTAAATAAAATTATACTTCTTGTCTTACTTTAGTGCTTTATATGCATGGAATAATAGTGTCATTAACTTACTATGTGTACTTGAAAGAGTATTAACTGATGAATTTGATGAAGGTGGAGCAGTTATTGAATGTAGGGATGAGCTCGTTGAATTTTGTGAAGTGGAAGAACTTAGTGGGTGTGATGAATGCATTGCACTTGATGAATGTAGAGTACTTGAGGGATGAACAGTAGTACTTGATCGATGAACAGTAGTACTTGATGGATGTAGAGTACTGGAAGGATGCAAAGTGCTTGATGAATGCAAAGTACTGGATGAATGAACAGTAGTACTTGATGGATGTAGAGTACTGGATGAATGAACAGTACTTGATGGATGCATTGTGCTTGATGGATGTAAAGTACTGGATGAATGCACTGTGCTTGATGGATGTGAAGTGTTGAGTGAATAATGAAGAGTCTTTGATGTGTGTGAAGATAAATGTGGTGTACTGGATAAAGATTGTGTGCTTGATGAAGACAATAGACATTTAGGCAATGAA